AAAACTTCAGTGAGGAGCTTTGAATATTGTAGATGGCAAGGAAGCAAGAAACCGGAAATGTTCCAAGTGCGGAGAAAAAAAATATTAGAATAGAACTTACGGTTACATGTAGTTAGTTCAACAGTTAAACGATGAGACCTAATTGCCAATCTAGTAGTATGCTTAAATTCATGCAGTCAAGGCGTTGAGGGAGTTCATCAGAACAATGATCATAATTGTAGAAAAGACAGAGGGAAGCTAAGTCATGGCAGTGGGAAAATGACTGAAGTCAAGATGCCAGGTCAAGATTGATTACATTACAGACTCTTCTTTGGATTTTGTTAAGAACTTCAAGATATATAGTAGGAGAACCAGACCATATATGGCAGTAATATTCAATGCAATACGAATGGTAGATTTATAAATGTGCAAGATGGATTCTGACGAGAAAAATGTTTGGGCACGGCACAGTGAAATAACTTTCCTAGCAGTAGATTCAATATAATCACCTCACTTCATGTCAGTGGAAAACGTGAGTCCAAGAAAGCGCAAAGAGTTGCTATGCTGAAGATTAGCAGCTGCTATACTGATGGAAGGTAGAAAAGTATTAATTATTAATTATAAGTTTCTACCTATAGTGGGCATGAATAGATTCAGTTATGTGCCATGCGTGATACATGACTGGTGAAGCAGATTTTTTCCTGCAGTAGGTTGCCATTTCTTTCTGCAGTAGACCAGTTGCCATCCAAGTCTATAAAACCCGACCTGTCCTACTATTTACCCATAGATGGGGGGAGAAGAAAAGGATTCATACCTTTCCCGAGGGTATTAGCACCTAAGTGAATGTAATGGATTCGACTGGAATTCGAACTCGGATCTCCGATTCCTCAATCTGAGCCGCTGTCGGTTACTCCCCCTAGAATGAATAGATTAAACTAAAGTTAATAATTTTGGGACGAGGGGCCCTACCCTTTTGGGTTTTTTTATGAATCTCTCTTATAGCTGAACTATGGTTTAAACAGCCACTGATTATGAATTTGTTTCTGGAGTTATTTCCAGAGTTCCATTAATTTATACGATGTGATTTGTTTCTTTCTATAAAAGAAACGAGTATTTGCGTTACATTTCTTCTTCTTTTTTAACCTTACTACGCATTTTAATAGATAATAAGAAAAGAATAGACAACTTTTATTAATAAAAAAAATAAGGTAAATATTACATTTTCTTAGATCTCTACCGTTTACTTCTAATATCTGTAACATTCTTGAATTTGGTATTATTCAAGACTCACCTGAAAAGACAGTTGTTCAAAATCGCTGTCTTCATGTAATTTCAATTCCAATCAGTGCTATCTGGATGTTATAGAATTGCTCTAGTCTAAGTTCTCTACAGACTGTAAAGGTAAGTGAACAAAGAATGTCCCGCAAAGTGTGCCAGATTCAGTAAGAACACAAAGGAAAGTGCTGAGAATTTGAGAGAACCTGTAGTCACTATATCCTCGCATAATTTTAACTTAGGAGTTAGAACTTCTTTATCATTTATCATTATTTTAGATTCTGTTAGCATTTTATAAGCCTCAATTTATAGGTATAACCTTTCCTCTTTAATATGCCGCATCCTAGCATTATTATTATTATTATTATTATTGTTTTTATTTTCTTTGATTTTTGGCGTTTACACATTTCTTTCCGGGTCCCGCCCAGGGATCTAAGGTTAGAAATGGCATCATGACACTCTCCACTGACCAAAAAAAAAAAAATATTACATAGATAAAGCCCTTCGTAAAGTGTGGGCTGTACTTGTCTGAACAATTTTTTGTATCTCCTTGAGGCATGGACTTCCAGGAATCCCTTCAATTAGTCTACTGCAATCTTTTCCAACCAGTCCTAGGGCTCCAACTACAACAGGGATTGTTGATGTTCCCATATGCCACATTTTCGAGATTTCTATTTCAAGGTCCTTGTATTTTGACAGCTTTTTGAATATCTTCAGAGATACATTGCAGTCAGCAGGGATTGCCATATCAATAAGGAGGCACTTTTTATTTTCATTATAGTCCCTATCTGAGTTATTACCCAAGTCTTAAGGTAAGGCAAGGTTATAAATAGATGCGTTCTGTTTGCCCAAATTCTGATGTTAAATGATACTTAACGTGTACAGTGTTTATATTTTCTTTACGTTGATAATACACTCGTGAGTAGATGAGCTGTTCCACACAGGGCAATGTTTTTTAATCTCTTGTAAACAGTGTCTACCAGAGATCTTGTTAATGTACTTGTCTGTACCTTTCTTTACCAAACCTAAGGATCCAATTGTCATAGGCAAAGCAGTAGTTTTAAGATACCAGGGATTTTCGCTTTAATTTCAAAATCATTATATTTATTTTATCATATCATATTTATCACAAACATCACTTCTCTAGTCAATTATTATTTATTACAAAATAAAAATTATAATAAATGTATTATAAAAAATTATGAAAATAAAATATTAAAATTGATTTTAACTAATTAAATGAATTCTAGTATTAATTCTAGTATCAACGTTGAGCCTGGTCATTACCTTGATGGGTGACCTCTTGGAAATACCATATGCTGTAAGCTGGGATGTACGGGTGGTGTAATGAATAATGGCTCGGAATTGTGACTCGAAGGTATGAATTCACCTCTTCTCAACCCCTAGCTATGGGTTAATTAGTAAGACTTGTATCAGTAAATCATTATTATCTAAAAAAATATAATCTAAAAATATTTTCTGGCTTTAAATAACCTGCAAAGGGTCGATAAACCGTAAAAAACGAATCAATCAAAATTCTTTTACAAATGTATTTTTAACTAGTGTCTAGGAGAAAGAATTTTTATTTGTTTATTTGTAGTTTTTAATTACTATGTTTAGTCTATTACATTTTTGTATATCTGTTAGTATGAATGGTAAGGTGCCAATGAATTGTGTCTTCTATGATTGATTCAGTGTGTTGTTCGTTTTTCAGTATGTATGTATGTATGTATGTATGTATGTATGTATATATATATATGAATGTGCGACTGGTGTAATCGTTAGCGGCTTAGGGCGAGAAATCGGTTAGACGGGTTCGAATTCCAGTCGTTCGTTAAATTCACTTTTATGCAAATAACCTTGGGAAAGGTACAAATCCATCTCTTCTATTACCTCCACTAGCTATGGGATAAATAGAAAGGAAGACCTCGCTCTTTCGGCCTTGGTTGGCGACCGATCTAGGAAAATGTAAATTCTGAATTCCAAAACCCGAGTAGATGTAAAACTTGTCAGTGATGGTCATACTCGTTTAATGAGTCGGCAGCCATTGTGAATGTATGTATGTATGTATGTATGTATCTTTACATAATAAATATAGGCTGGCTGAATGTTATTATTATATTTCAGCTTTTCAAATTTGCTTTGGTATTTATGATTTAGAGTCTAGTTCCAAAGTCCCAACACCTTTCTCTGTATTCTCAACGTGTCAAGAACCCCTATAGTTGCGTTTTGTTCATTTTTATCCTTTCATAACCATTTGCCGATGTCGGCAGAGTTAGTTCTGATTATTATTATGTTCATTTTTTTTTAAATACAGGGGTTTCAAAAGTAGCTATACAGTAATGAAAATCAAAATGCGTACAAAATCTATTGTATTTGTTATACAAATATATCAGTAATAACATATCAATAATAAATATATCAATCTCTCAAATGTTCAAAATATTTGCCGCCGGCGTTCACACACTTCTCTAGTCTATTATTATTTATTAAAAAATAAAAATTATAATAAATGTATTATAAAAAAATTATGAAAATAAAAATATTAAAAATGATTTTTTTAATTAATTAAATGAATTCTAATATTAAATGAATCCTAGGACCACTGTTATAATATTAGTAATTCTAGAATAATATGTACTTTATACATACTTTTGCAGTCCCTGTATTAAAGTGAATGACATTTATTACAATCGTTATGAACAACTTGTATTATACGCAAAATGTTTTGTTTTACGGTCCTGACGTAAGTTTGTTGTATCAGGAACGCATGCTAAACGCATTTTTACAAAATATTTACACATCTATAATTGGTATATATACCTTTTTTAGTTTTTCTTACTATTATGAATATAAAGTTTTTACTTAATTTTTTCTTTACCTTTATTGTCATCGGCTTTTAACGAACTACCTGATTCCGTGCACGATATTCTACAACAATTCTATGCCTTCGTGTAGATATATATTTTATTATGACCATTATTTTTTTGAGTTCTCGTCCAGCCTAGAGTAATATGTATAATTATTTCTTCGATAAGAATTATCATTAGTAGTAGTATTGTTGTTTTTTCATATATGTAAATAGTCACACCATATGTCTGTTGGTTATAAGTAGAGACTAGATGACAGCAAGTCTCATAAAATCACCACCAGCACCTTTCTTAGTATTCTCACATACTACTATGGTTTTCAATTTTTAATTTTCATTGTGATATTGTTTTCTTTGTTTAGGACCTTTTATCATTATTATTATTATTATTATTATTATTATTATTATTATTATTATTATTATCCGATAGATAAAAACAACACCGACCCTTAAAATGTCAAGTTATACAAACAACATGTAAAAAAAAAAGTCCGTAACATCTACAAAAGTAATACATGTAACAGATTTCAATATCCCTACTTACCTTTGGTGACAATCCTTCGTCAGGTATCCAACACACCTGGATAATTAAAAAGTCCACTGAAAGAAGGAAAGCGGAAGTTTTCTGAAGAAAGCACTAGGACATAAGTCCTTCCACGCGGCGGAGCAGTACAAAGTAAACGTAACGCGTACAAAGATCGTGGCGCATCTCATAAACACGTCGCTCTTATAAAACAGCTGCTTTGCGTTCGAACAAGAGAGAAGTATTAAGTTAAGTAAATCACAAGCAAATGACTAATATCTTATTGACGAAATTTGTCAATAAGAGTCTAGTGCTCATGAAATCTAATGTTTCCAGGTAACATTGATATGAAGTATGAACAATATTTTCGCTTATCTCAATCGTGCTTCGTGTAACTGTGTTTATTGTGGTTTGAGAATGAGTAAATTAATGTAATGAGCATGTAAGTACACGAATCTGAATATGTGTATTCGAATGTTTACGTACAACAATATCTAAATTATATCTGTAAAAATATATGAATGCTTGTTTCCACAAGGGTATGTTTTTTTTTTTTTGTTTATTTTGTCATTCACACGAAACTTTTTTTTAAATCTACTTTTTCTCGATTTTTTTTTAAATGTCCAAACTCATTTTCTTTTTTAAGACGATTATCTTCCCAATAAAGTTCCTCTGAAAAAAAAAGTTTTTCATTATTGTTGCTGTTGTTGGCGTTGTTGTCTCTTCTTGTCTTTTTGTTGTGTATCCGCAGGCAGAATCCATTTAAATGGGAGTTAGGAAGGAGAGGGAATGAACTAAAATTGAGAATTTTCGGAAGGCGATCGATCTACAAAACCCGGCCACCCAAATTTATTGCTGCAATCAAACGATAAGGAGACTTCTTTTTTCAATATTATTATGTCAAGAAACCTTAAATCCTGTTTGGAGTTAGTTTTGTCTCTTCTCTCATTTTTTTTTTTTGTGTGTGTGTGTGTGTGTGTGTGTGTGTGTGTGCGCGCGTGTGTGTGTGTTTCTTTACTTCCTTTCCTTTTTTTTGTTTTTTGTTTTTTAATGTTTTTTCCGTTCTCTGCTTTTTGTCGACTTCATGTTGCTTATATTTTTTCTAGATTTGGGTAGCGTGTTTCTTTGTTTTTTGATTTCTTTTTTTTTTTTACCCCGTTTTCTTAAATATTTCTAAGTGAACACTAAGGGACGATACAATAATATCAATTTTTCCTTGGGTTCACCTGACCTACCTGTGCGAAACGCAGTGACAATCCGATTAAAATATCCGAAAGCAGAGGAAAAGAAAAGGCTTTTTAAAAAGTAAACGTCTTTTAGCTCTTTATTTTTCCTTTTCTTCTTTTGAGTTTAATAACGCCTGTAGCAATGGCAGTGAATTGTCAGACTAAAAAGAGAAGAAAGGTGAAAAACAGACAGTTTGAGAGCCAGATATAAAGAAGGGGCAGACTAGCGAACGGTTTGACGGACACTCGAACAGAGTTAAGTGTGGATGGAATAGAAAATACTATAGATAGAAAAGTGTAAAATCGACAATAAATCCGACTTGTTCTTGTATCTCGAGAAAGATAACGAAGTGGTTTGTTAAAAAAGCTTATGTTTTTTCTCTGAATTTACCCCCACACCTCTCTCTCCCTCTCTCTTTCTCTCTTCCACCACTTTTAGTTCTTTAATCTCTCTCTCTCACTCACTTTCTCTCTTACTCTGTATTTCTATGATGTTTTTATCACCCTCTTCCTCTCTCTTCCTCTTTGTCCTGATTTTATTAATGTTTTCCCTCGTATCTACCTCTCTTTGTGTCTTTATTTATCCTTAACATCCTCTCCCCCTCTCACTTTACTTTCTGTTTGATTTTCCTTATCTTTTTGGTTTTGCCTATATTGTTTTTCTCTCTCTTTTTATTTCTACTTCTCTCTTACTCACACGCACACAGACACACGCATCTATAACTATTCTACCAAACTCTAACCTTTCTCTTAAAGAATTCTCTATCTCCCCACAATCCTTTAGTGTTTTTTCGACACTTTATTCTTTGTTTCTTTCTTTCTCGTTTAGACGAACCCTTAAATTCTTTATCGTCATCTATAAATCTCAAACTGCTTTTCTTTCTTTCTTTTTTCTTTCTTTCTTTTGAGCGTGTGTATGTCTGTGTGCGCGTGCGTGTGTGTGAGTGTGTTAACTTGTTTTATTTTTTTCCTTTTTGTTCTGTGTTTTACTCTTTCTATATATATTCTTCCTTATTTTTTCTTCGGTCGTTGTGTCCCTGCGTTTATCTCAGTCATATCTCTCCTCTCTCTTTTCGTTTCACTCTCTTCTTCTCACTTCTTTTCTTCTCGTCTTCTGTCCTCTCTCCCATTTATATTATTTTTCCTCTCCAATTTTCATCTCCCTCGTCGTCCTCTTCCAACTACCGCTCTTGCCTACACCCCCAATACACACACTATTTTTTCACCTACCTGTAACCACCCCAACGCTGAAGCTTTTCTTTCCTCTTTATTTGATCTTTTCTTCTACTTTTCTTGTTTGTTTTTACTGACGCTGCTACTGCTGTTGAGATATCCTTACGATTTCCACACATCGTAGTCACAGGAAAAGCAGCCACCTCATTGTTAGCTATATTTTTTTATCCACTGAGTGGGTGACTACCGACTGAGTGGTTTAGATTGAGGGGACTTCTGTCTATACTAACACCCACATTAAATACATTCTTTTCACCTACACTTTCTTTCTTTCTTATGCCTTTCAGCGTCTTCGCCTTCTTTCTCAATTACGCATTTCTTTCGTTTTCTCCCCAACACTTTCCCACGATTTGACTGTCAGTCTCATTACAATTCTACACTCCTTCTTCCACACCTATACACACGTAAATATGCACGCTTGTTGTGAGCCATTATATACATTCCAATACAGGTAAACGACAAATCAGTTGATTCGACAACCTATCTTTTACTGTCTCGATATCAGTTCTACGGAGTTAGCCTAACGTTAAACAGAACGAAAAATGGTAATCGGTGGACTGAGTTCAAATTACGATGAGGTAATTTGTATTTACTCTGCACTATTAATCTTGGAAAAAGCATGACTCTACTTCTCCCAATAGGCCAAGCAAAAGTATTACTATTTTCGCCTGATACCGTGTTATTGTTAGCAGATAATAGCCAATGCTAATCACTTTGTCCCAAGAAATACCATGAAGGTGCCAACCTGGTAAGCACCCCAACGATCTACTGGATCGAGAGATACTTTGATTGGATTTTGATCAGTTCATTTCAGCAAACTAACTTTATATAGATTTTTACTAACTTAGTTATTTCTTCACTGATCACTAGGGGCTCCTTTTGCGATTAAGTTTATTTTAGTAAAAAATATCAGTTCAGTTATTACTTTTGTGTGCGTGTCAATGTCTGTGAATGCGTTTTCCTTCTCTCCCCACACCCAACACACACAAAGACACAGTATCGTCAACAATTATATCCTCAAAAGACCTGCAAGGGAGATTTTACGTGTTTGCCTAAAGGTGAAAAAGATTTTGTTCCAATGAATGATAAGCAATAAAAGAAAACGTTTAATTTAAAACAAAGTATACTGTAGCATTTATTGTATACTGTATTATGAAACAAATTGAAAAAAATACTTCGTTCCAAAATAGGATAAGCAGTGACCAAAACAGTTTTGTTTGCTTTGCTTATTTTGTTTTACGGTATATCAACCTCAATGGGTTATTTAATGCCGACAAGATTTTTAGGGTAGGTTCGTATGAATAGAATATGTATTCATTGCTGGTAATATTTTTTTCCTTTTTTCAAAAATGTATTGCTGGTACTTCTATAAAAAAAACTATACCTTCATAGTGCTTTGACCTTAGTTTGAGGGTTAGCTTTTTGTCCATATCTGGGACCCTAACAGGTGCTACCACCCTGGGTCAGGGTGGACCTGGGAACACCATCAATTAAGAAGTAGTTCCATATTCCTCAAAACCTCCCGATCAGAGGCCTTGCTGCTGGATGTAGTTTATCGTCATACCCCGGACGGAAAAATACTTTAAAATATAAAACATAATGTAACATTTTAAAATATAAACAAACTGAAAACGTTAAAATAAGCTGGGCTACTAATGAGAAGAAAGTTAATATAAAATTTTCAAATGTGACCCAATTTGTTGCTCGAAGCAAAATCTATCAAATTTGCTATGAAGCTAGTTTTCTATTAAAAGAAGAATCATTTTCCCATTTCCTAACATTACGATAATATTTTGTTTTATTTTTTATTTGAATTTTGGAATATTTGATACTTTATACGTTATTTCTATTCATCGGGAAATAATAATAATAATAATAATAATAATAATAATAATAACAGTATGTGCTTTCTTATTGACATGGTAGTCCCTACAGATTAATGTAATGTATCTTTGAAGATCTTCAAAAACCTATCAAAATAAAAGGATCTTGAAGTAGAAATCTCAAAAATGTGGCACATAAAGACATCAATAATTCCAGTTGTACTTGGAGTTCTCGGATTGATTGGAAAAGGTTCCGATAGTCTCATAGAATGGCTGCCCGTGCCTTAAAGAAATACAAAAACTTGTACTCACAACTACAGCTCACACATTACGAAGAGCTTTTTACTTATGTAAAATGTGTGTGATTTTAGAGGGTTTTTTCTTGGTATTTTTTACAAAACATTATCAGTGGAAAATGTCTTGAAGCCATTTCTAACCCTCGGTCTCTGGTTTGGACCCGAAAGGAAATCTGCATACAACATAAATCCAAGGATATATTATTATTATTATTATTATTATTATTATTATTATTATTATTATTATATTATTATTATTAATAATAATAATAATAATAATAATAATAATAATAATAATAATGAAGGTCCTAAACAAAGAAAAGAACATAACAAAGAAAATTAAAAATTGAAAGAACAATAATAGCAGTATGGTACGTGGAAACTGAAATCGATGCGGTACATAAAGCCGTGCCTATAATAATTTGCACACTCGAAACTGGAAAATACATTACAGTCCAGATTTGTGGAATTAGATATTTGACAAAGTATTACATTTTAGATTATAATATTTTCGATTTCGTAAATTAAACACCAATATCTAAAAATAGCAAGTACACCAGACAAAATATATAAAATCTTGATATTAAAATTATATGGTGTGCTTGGATATTAAAATGGCTGTTTCTAATTGACAGAAGAGTTTCCATAAAATCTGGACACGAGATAAATTTTACGAACTGACAGCAGAAAATAAACAACCATTTTTTTTTTTTAACAATTGTATTTGAACGGTTCGGATTAATCTCTTAATTCGGATTTATCTTCTTCGGGTGTCTGTTGGCGAATATGAAAGTTGAAAGAATTCTCATACATGCTCTCGTTAAATAACTCGCTCGGCCAACCGAAAATAGACATTAAAAACAGGAATCGAGAGGATAGAACATGTACAACAGGAAATCACGAGTTTAACGCAGAGGTCAGGAGACGAGAAATCCAAAAGCGCACAGACGCAAGCACCGGGCATGATGAAAGGAGATATGCATACTTTTCAGAAAAAGATTCGATGACACAAGAACACAATAGACTGATGAGTTAGAAGCCATTGTCAAAATGCAAGATAAATAATAAGAACAGAATTAATAAAGTTTACAATGAAAAAAAGGGCAAAAGGGATGAAACAGCAACAATCATGCAAGCAAGTAAGCAATACAGTTAAAGCAAATCAAGCAGATAAGAAGGTAAAAGAATTCCCAAACTATGAGTTGGTGTTTGTACACAAAACCAAGGTCGGACAAGTGAACGCAGTTGGTCTGTCTAGTACTTAAGGGAAAATTTGGACTGAGTTTATATACCTCGCCTTCCCACAAGGCAGGATGCGGCACAAGGCCATATTTATGTGGGGTGAATTCCCTGTAGAACCCGCATACACGGGGTCGGGATTGTCTACCTCCCCAGACGTGACTCTGCTCTTCGGCATAGCCTGGGTTCCTCTCTGCCCGAAGGCAAAGAGTTCGACAAGTCAATTCGAAAAGTCTGAACCGGCAGATCTGGACTGAATCATGTCAAAACGCAAGCCGTCCCATTTTATTGGAAAAGAAAAATATCCCAGCATGCATTTTTTATGTCCTTCCGACTATAAGAGGGAGAGGGGGGGAATTTTTACGATAATTCCCAGCATATTGAATTCTCCCGGCTGATTTTTTGGCTGGGGTTTTTGACAAATATTGGATCGTTTCTTGGCCTATGGCTGAGATTCGATCAAGGCTTCGTCTAGCTTGGACTGGCTCCGGCCTGGACTTGCTAGGACAAGTCATGACCAGCTTTGACTAAGCTCTGACCAGCTTGGACATGCTTTGACCAATTTTGACCAGTGGCCTTTGAGTGGAAACACTCGGGTCTCCCACGTTAATCGACCTTGTGTCATATCTTGATTTTGTGGGAATCAAGTAAATACCAATTCCCAGCATATTGGAGTAGAGTACACAGCCGAAACGTTAGCTAAAATTTTTAAAAAAAGATGAGGAAATTACTTCAAAGCAACCATATACAATGATTAAAACACTTTGCAAAACCAAATCCAAACAGGAATTTAAAAGCTTATAAAGGTTTTAAATTTCCTTGTTTACTTTATGACAATGACGTACATGAGAGAAATGATCCATTCAATGTTCGTATAAAATACATGCAATATACTTAGCGGTCCGTCACGTGACCAAATGTGACTTATCTCCACCAAAGGCAGATAATTACCTTCTGTATACCTACAAAATATTCTGCCAGCAACATTCACCTTTGAAAAATAACGTTAGAATTAATTTTTAAAAATGTGTACTGAACTACTGAGTAATATCTAATCTCCTATAGCAGGGGTGGCCAAACTGTGGCTCGTGAGTGACATGCGGCTCTTTCATCTTTAATATGCGGCTCGTGAAAATATGTCGGTTGAGCTCCTTTCTTCATCACAGTTAATATAAAACGTAAATAATAAAAAAATTATAATTATTTACTGGGTATGAATTGAGACCCCATTGGTTTAAAACGTTTAATGTTAATGTTTACGTAACAAGAACGTATTTGTAAATTTTGTTCATATCTTGCGGCTCTCAAACATCTTCACTTTATCTTATGTGGCTCTTACATTAAGCAAGTTTGACCACCCCTGTCATATAGTGAAATCAGTGATGGACAATCTTCTCATAGATAAAGAAGGAACTTAAAACGATAAGAGATGTCGTTTTACTGACGAATGCTAAGAATTCCATGGACAGAACATATGAACAGTAAGGAAGCTTTAAGAAAAGTCGAAACGACAAGAAGGAGACAGATGAAATTTCTGAAATACATAATGAGGAAAGAGGGCTTGGAAAATTTAACACTCCCATGACATACTGAAGGCAAGAGAAACAGCATGAAACATCTAGTAGCCGACGTAACGAGTTTGGGTGAACGAATGACAGGACCGAAACAAAGAGGGATGGTAAACAGTCAAAAATTAGCTAGATAAACAAACGACAAGAAGTTATGGAGAACCATTACCTCCCACATAATGAAAAGTCTTAAAACATAAAAGAAAAAGAAGGCCTATTCTGAGAGTAACACGCCTTAATTGCTGGTTTATCAGGTGACTTATCAGTTTCATTGGCAATATTCTCTGTCACCACTCTGATGTTTTTACTGAAGTTATGCATGCGCACTTAATAAACGTCACATATATTAGCAGAATCTGGGACAAAGTCAAAATAACAGCGCACGCATTTATACACACACACACACACACACACACAAACACAAACACATACACCCACGCACATACTATGTATTTATATGTATGATCCGAAAGGATAT